TTGAGCTTGTTAAACAGTATTCTCCATTGTGGACATCCATTGTTGAATTTCAAAATGTCATGAACTGTTTCGTCATTATTAAACATTGTGGTCCAGTATTTTTCCACATGTTAGAGAGATTCGTCCTTTTGTTGTTTTTGTTGAACTTGTTATGCCTTTCTTGCTTGAATTGTTCTTTTAAAAGCTTCAAATTTACATAAACCAGACTCTATTGTTGGACAATTTTTAGTCCAAGAGTCATCCGAAGCATATCCATCAAGTCCTTGGTGCACCGAGGTGTCCCTCGGGTTCATGGATCCTTGCACGTTGGTGGTCACCATGCCTAAACCTCTTGACTGTAATGAAGGCGGTTTCGAGATCTTCTTGGTCTCCTTGATCTAAAATCAAGTTTGGTGTCAACTATGTTCTAGAAAGGGCTAAGAAAGAAGTGCCTTGTGGTGTAACAGGTGTATCAAGAGTATGTGTGACTCGAAGTAAAATGGACCGCAATTCCTAGGGTTTAAAGAGATGCAACTGTGAAGCCCTATAGAACATAGGGTGAGTAGTAACAACTAGGTCCACTTGGATTCCAGTTGAGGGTCTGTCTCCATCATAAGATGAACTAAAAACACTTATTTCATCTGATTAGTGAGTTGGGGCTCTTTTGGTTGAGTCTGCGGTGACTCGAATGTCTATGAGAGTCTTTTGGGAGACTCCAGCATGTGCCTTGGATCACATTTGGCTAGGACTGAGGATGGTCTTCAATATCTTTCTCCTAAAAAGATCCTGGGATTTTGAAGGCTCATCTTGATGTTCATCAATGACATTAATAGGAATGTCATGAGCTTGAGAAGTAGAGTGTGGGACAGTGGGAGTAAGCTCTACGGTATTAGCCTTTCTTTTCTTGGGAGAACCAGCTCCCTTGACAACAATATTTATAGGAGTTTTTTGTGTAATGGTTTTGACTCTTTCGGGTTTTGGTTTCAAGACCTGGTCTTCGGTGAGCTGAATTGGTTTAGGCGAGTAAGAGTGATATAGGGCAATAGCACTCGTAGCCATGATATGATTAGCCACATCTACAGTAGTGAGTCCAATGGACTCCAGAATATACATTGGTAATCTAAAATGAGACAAAAAAATGGATTGATCCTTGGAAGGATTGTACCTCTTAAGATCGCGAGCTAAAAATAAGTTGGTGTCATTGCCCATGTTAAGTTTAGCATCGCTGTGCATATCAACAAGGCACAATGACCAGAACCTTGCAAATACAACCTCCGTTATTCTTTCTTTTGATGCATCCTTGGAGATTTATTGCAAAAAATCATCACATATGCTTTGTCCGTAGTTAAAAGCATTCCCTGTGTAGATACTCCAAACAATGTCAGGAATTTGTTTTCCTATGTTATTAGTCCCTCCGGTCCTGCCTGAGAGACATTGAATCACAAAATGCCAAACAAAATTGCCAAACAATAGAAAATTTTCTTTTTCTTGAACTCTCCTATGCCTTTGAGTTTTTCCTGATACCCCATTTGATAGAGTGCAGAGAACACATCTTTTGAGCTTGGAGAATAGAACTTTATTTTTAAAGTTGTATTTTTAGCAGGCCGGAATAGGAAAGGTACGTTAAAATTTCATAACTTCTTTATCCGATGTCCATTTTTGTCTGTCATTTTACCTTTTGAATTTCTATTGACATGATCTCCGATTCTCATTTAGGAGGTGTTGCTAAAAATTGCTCGATCTAAAATTCGAGTTTCGGGCTGCATACTGCTATACCAAATAATAGAAAATTCATAACTTCGTCACACGAAGTCATATTTGGACATTCTTTTTATGAACACTCTCGGTTTTACGTATACTACAACTTTCATTTAGATCGTTAAAGCTAAAAAGTATTATAATGTAAATTCACTTTTTACGAAACATTGCATCGTGTCGGTTTTGTCGTGAAACTTTCATAGGTCGTAACTTCTTCATTATAGCTCAGATTTCGGTGTTCTTTATATTTTCGGAACCCTTTTCATGACCACTACTACTTTCCTCATAGATATCATCTTTATTTAACATTTTATTTCTTTATTATTTTAAAATGAATTACAAGTTGATCTAGTCTATTACATTGATTTGAAATAACGGGTCGTTACACAGGTTATAGGTATATAAACAATCTGTATTTATGATCTGGATTCATGAGACCGTGATGAAAGTGAAACCCATCATTTCGAAATCTATAAGGAATTTATAGTGAACTTTTAGTTCAAGTTATTAACAAAACATTTGTTTCAGTACCGTTTTTCGGTATTTAAAATCACATTCTTTCGTTTTCAGTGGTCTTGATAATTGTTCTAACAACAAGGCATTTTTGCACAACCAGATCCAGCACCTAATTTTATTCTATTTTTGAATATGATTTCTATCTGAATATAAATTCGATCCTTCGTTACATGAAATATTTTCCAAAGCATACTTGTCACTGACTACAATGGTCAAAAGTAAGTTTGTTTACTATTTTTCACACTTATGTGGAGTTGTGATTTGTAACAAAAAATTTAACCAACCCACCAAGCCTGATAAAAGAAGCCATTTGATGCTCCTTTATGAGTATTCGATTGTAATTTACGGGAAACCACACAAGCAATTCCACATCTCTATTGATGTGAAAACAGTGATCTTTGCCTGGGGTCTAATTGTTTTGTGGCGATTTTATAATTGACATCACTAACCCAACTTTTATTTTGTTTGCTTCTTGTCTTATTATTTGGCACATGTATGCACTCACGAAATCCTTGAGGTTTTGAGTACTACCAACTCAAGTTGATGATTTCGCAAGTCTAGCATATGACTTCTTTTTTTAACCCAAAAGTGAAAGAGCCCTACCTCCATGTCGAAGGGTTCTTGATAGTTCATCTTTTATTGGGGAAAGCGAAGAGACTGATTAATGTGACGTTTTGGTTGACGTGCAGTTTTTAAGGAAAATTTGATAATCACTTTTCAGACGTGGCTATTTTTACAGCTATTGGTCCAATTTTCAAGGAGCCATGTTGCGTGCATTAAATGCTTAAACCGCTTCAAATTCAAATTGGGGTTTACGTATTGAAGGGTTTTGGTTCATCTTGTTCTAACTTTACGCGATCACAATTTCCCCAAAGTTCCTTGCCCTTTAAATTATGTTCTCTCAAACCCTAACAATGGTGGCTCCAAATATGTCTGTTGATCCTTCTCAGAGCACATACCATAACACTTCTCAACCATTAATGAAGATTCAGAGAAAAAACTATCGAGTTTAACCAGATGAAACTCAACATCCTGACGAATTGAAGATCTTAATTGTTGCTTTTAACAGTTATGTTTTTTCTACAGTATTGTCGGCATCTTTCTCTGTCCCAATGACATGGATATCGCTTGCTAGTTTTACTTCAGTATAAAACAAGACTATCAAGGTGGATACCTTCCAATTAACCAATGATAAGAGGTTCAAGTTAACCAAGAAGATGTTTTCTCAAATCTTGAATATCCCTAATGTTGAAACCTTTTATGAAGTCACGAATGAACAGGTCCTTCACATGTTCATAAATGGGTCATCAACTGATTCTCACAAAGATAAGTGATTTCAAGAAATCTTCTTTTCACTACATATGGGATTTTTTATTTGTTATTTTCCTTCGATGCCTGACGGGTCGAAGCGTTGTTTTGGACAAGTCCAAATTGGATATTTATTCCATGGTAGCAGGTCTTTATTATGACATACATGTTGATTACGAAACACTATTGTGAGAAGAACTTACAAGGAGTATTGGCAGCACGAATGTGGTAAATGGAGTCTCTTGTGTTCTTTAGTGGAGTCTTATTTTGCAGCTTGCATATAAAAGAGAAGGGATTGTTGTTCCAGCTGATGACCAAAATGTTGAATTTACTTTATTTCAGCAACCGAAGATAGTGAAGGATGATCTAGATGTGTTTCCACTGATTGCACGAATCCCTGATGCTATGCTTTAAAAGGTTGATCATGCTCATCCAGTTCTTCTTTCTTATTTACAATCAATCAATCCTTCGATGGAGTTCTGTTAGCAAAGGGTGATAACATCAAAAGAATCAAACCTTCGATGAAAGATCCTAAGGCTAGTCCATTGAAGGCTATTACTTACTACAAAGAAGGTTTCGAAGAAAGATTCTAAGGCTCATGTTTCAAAACCTGATTTGGTTCCAAAGGAGGTTATTCAGCCTGATCCTTCTAGAACAGTAGAAGTTGTTTTGCCTTCAAAGACTGGTGTTCTAAAAAGGTTGAATAAAATAGCTCACATACCTCCTCATTCAACAAACATGGTCCAGTTCATCATGAAATTCCTAACAAGTCTCTTTCATCACCATCCGAGACTTTTATTTGCAAAGTTAAAAAGATCAAGAAGACATAATTAAATCGAAAAGGAGTCATTATTTGTGAGATTCCTTATCCTGTGTCTCCAACATCCAAGAAAAGACGGGCTCATGAATTAGTCAAGAAGACTAAAAAGAAGCAAAAGAAGATTGAAGAATTTGTTGAGGAAGTTGTGGTGGAAACGGATTTTGAAGCAGAGACTACTCCATCTTCTCTTTCAAATGATGATATGGGCTTCCCATCACCTACGAGCAGCTCTCCAGTTAAGTTGACTTTCAAGGAGACTGGGAGTCTTGGTGGCATTATGAAAACATCTTTTATGGTCACAACCATCAATCAGGGTGATCATACGAAACTATCTACTCCTGAGCAGACTTTAGTCACACCACCCAAAGTTTTGAATACCGAATCATTTTCTGAGGAGGTTCGAACTTCATGCATCCCTGCGAAGATATCTAATATGGACGCAAATGTCAATATGGGTGATGGAGTGTTGAACACCGAAGCCCAAGGTACTTCTACTATTATCATATCTTCTTCTTTTGATACATCAACCATTGATACTACTACTTCTCTACCACCGTATCATTCTTCCATTCCTACTACCTTACCATAATTCACCATTTCACCTAGTTTTGAAAACATTATGGATCAACCCATCACTTTTCTATTTCCATCGCAATCCAAGGAGTGCCGCCAATCTGTTCCACAATATGATTCTACTGATGATTGTTATTTTATGGGTACTTTTGCTGAAATTCAATTTGATCCTGATGAAGAGAACATCGCATGTAATATGTTAACGTCGGGAAAACATTTCAATATTCTACATGAAGCTCAACTCTTTATTGAAACTTCAAGATGATGTTGTGGGTTGAAATACTATCTCGTGTATCGAAGTTGACGTGATGATTAAATCTGAAGAGCTGATATTACATGAAGCAATTGATCTGGTTGACAAGAACAATGAGTTAAGGGTGAAATTTCAAACTTCCTCCCTTAATAATGAGTTAAAGGAGTTGCGAACTGTTTCAAAGGAAATACATGTTTTGTTTGTTCCGGACGTCAAAACTACTTGCGAAAATGTAAACTTGAAGATTGAGGAACTTGGAGTTGATATGGCGAAGGAAATTTTAGCTCTTGGTCACAATTATTCTTCTCTTCATTCGAAGGTAGACATAATTGTTGATGTTGTTACCAAGGTGGTTGAATAGCACAATTCCTTACTTCCCATGGTTGATAAGAAGGTTGAGGTTGTTAAAAGTTTTCATAAAATTGAGGAGACGTTGAATAATTTGAAGGAGTTAGTTTCGAAGCTTGGGTCTTCATCCCCTTCTGTCATCACCTAGGAATTATTATCTCATAAAACTTTAGTCATCGGAGTCTACAATCAAAGAAAAAATGGCTCCTTTGTAGAAATTTCTTAATTTGATGCCAACTGATGCCCCGAATGTTCACATAAGGGTGCAATGGGGAGAAAGAATAAGTGTTGGCAGGGGTTCGCAAACTGGCTTGGGAGGAAGCGGTTCAGGAAAAGGTGATGGAGATACAAAATTTGTTGGAAAAGTTATGTCGACTCAAATTCCTTCTTCATTGCCAAAGACATCTTCGATAACTGCTTCAACAACAACAACAACAACAACAAAGCCATTGACAAAAGGTGTTGTGATAGGTTCTGTTTTTGGAGGATCAAGCTCTTCAAATCCACCTCCATCAACAGAAGAAATGAAAAATAAAGGGAAAGGTGTTTCTATAGAACCTTCAGCAAAAAAGAAGAAGGAAACTATAGAAAAGGAAATGTGAAAACAATTTAAACAAAGGAAAATTCAAAGCATTCGACACCAAAGAGAAAATGACCCTCCTAGTCTTGACAAAGGCGATCCTTCGAAACACTATTATTACAAAAACATTGAATCTTTGGTTGTAACTGAAGAAATGCATGATTTTGAGAAATTTCCCAAGAAAAGCTTCGCAACTCAGAATACTGCTTTCAATCAGTTAGATTTCTGAATCAAAAAAATGATGTTCTTTGCTGCACAATTTCAACTTGTTGAAAAGTATGAAGACAAAGAAGAATTTAAATGGTTTAAGTTTCGCTTCCATGCATTTATTGGAAAAAAGGGAGGAGGAGATATGCTCCTTAGTCAAGATAGTTCGAGTTCTCAACATTTCCAAAGATGTCTTGTTAGAGGTATTATTGCAGAATTATCGCTACCATGCAGTTTGAGCTAACAATGTAGCAGCTGATTTTTTGGTTGCAGACTTCCCTTTGATGAATCTTCATGACTTGATTTGTGGTGCAAGGATTTTGAAAAGTGTTGATGTCTCAAAGCTTCAAATGACAAACAAAGAAGATTTCTTCTTTGGCTTTGCTCACATGAAGTTGTTTATAGATAACTAATATGGTTATCTTGCATTAACATATGTCGAATTAGCCATGGCATTGGGAAAATAGATTACAGTGCCCCAATCGATGTTGAAGTGTCAAGCAAGTTTGAAGAATTATGAAGATGGGGAAATTTGTTTGAATCCCCTCGGGATTATGTTTGTTGGGAAAAGTAAGAATGGGAAGATTATGAAATTGTTGTTTCAAGCTTGTGATGTTGAAAGATATACCACAACACATTATACAAACCTCATTATTTGAATGAATAGTAGTGGAAAGTGCAGTGATGGTGACAAAGCTCAAATTCGCAAGGTAGTTAACTGGTATGCAGATATTCAAAGGGTGATACATCAAGATGCTCAGATGTTGATGACTTAGATTCGACATTTCTCATAAAGGAGGAGAATGTTGATGTTGAATGTAGTTGTGAGATGTCGAATTCAGTCTACATTGGTCTTAGTGTCGAAAGTCAGTTTGAATGTTTTGTATAAGGGTAATTTATGTGTCGAAGTTGTATTGCTTTAGTCCCTTATATATACATTTTTTGTATGCTTTTGATATCCCTATAAATATGGGATGGGTACTACACTTAGAGGAGTTCTGGGGGTCTTCGACTTGTACTCTCTAAAATCCCTATGTATCTTTTCAAAGAGTTATTGAGCCATCCAGATCATATTTACATCTCGTGTTCATAAATCATTCTTAACTCTGATTTTGTTTCATATATTTGATTTATAATATTCACTTAACATCAAAAGACAAGGAGAGAGATGTAGAAAACACAGCTATGGATTAGGAGAAGGAGAGAAGAAAGAGAGTGAAAACTAGCTCAAAATGCAAGCCCCATGCATTGTTATATATTTCAAGTAATGCAAAAACACCCCCATATACTAACCTAAAGTATTCACCTTACTTTAGGGTAATGGGGAAGAAAGCAGGGAGGTTGAGAACCAACCTCCCATGCCCTCTCTAACTTTCGTCTTTATTGTCTCCAATGGTGACAAAAATGAAAAGCAATTTTCTTTAACTAAAAGAATAAATTACTAGCAAGTCCATGTTCAACCAAAGTGTCCAAAACTATGTACATGATTTATTAAATCATACCATATGATATAATAATTACTTATACTTTCTTTAATTATTATTTTCGTAATAAATAATAGGTATTCCCCTAATTAAATATAGGAGTTGATATTATTTATTAAAAATCACATTAACAACAAATACAAAAAAAATGTGCGAACTAGATATAGGTGTGACCCTATAGGATCATATTTTATTAGCAATATCACTCAATAATGATTCTTGAGCATATAGATCCAACAAATTACTTACTTCTTCTTCATGCCATTCTCTCTCCGGAATCTCTCTTTCACCCTCGAGCATTTTGGTCCCTCGTGATTCAACTTCTCGTTCTACAGTTCCAATAGTATCAGAAAGGAAGCGCTAGAGGTTTCAAAAAGAAATAAGAAGCAAGTGTTGAAGTTCTTATTGCGGTTATTCAAGCCTTTTCATGTTATGTAAGTTATACTTAGTACTATCTACATCTCATTTTATTCATAATCATTGTTATAAACCTACAAGTAGTTAGATTAATCATTAATCCTAGTTATTATATTGATTGATCTACTTATAGGTGAAGTGTATATGATAGAGATATTGGCAAGCTTGTTGGATTTCCAAAAAGTTATATGTGAAAATTATGCTACCTCCCAACTGTCTTGACTAGGTAATCCTTATTTGGTACTCATTCAGTGTTATTGGGATTAGTGAAGGATTTGGCTTTTACTACGATTACCATAGATAATTATCAATTATAGTATTATAGGTTAATACTTATTTATCATGTTGATTTCTAGTTGGATAGTCAACAGTCATCTAAGTAATTGTCCAAGTGATATATCTCACTACACTATATGTTACATTGTATATCCTTGTATGATTGGTTATAAGAACAGCTAGATTAGAACTATATGTGCAGAGTAGTATAGTCTCTGTATGATTCGTTGTTTGGTTGTAAGATTCATTTATATGTATGTATTAGGAGTTGAAGGCAAAACGGAGATAGGTCGAAAACCTATAGACATGTGTTGACGACGGAACGGTGACAAGTCGTGAGTCCAAATACACATGTTTTTTGTAGAACAGAGAAAGTCATAACCATTGTTTGTATACGTGTATATGTATTCTGATATATGGTATCTTGGGGAACTTATTAAGCTTCGAGTTCCCAGTGGATTTCAAATGATTTCAGGTAATTCTTTAGATTCTAAGGAGAGCAAGGCTTAACTATACATGCGCATCAGCATCATGGTTTAGTTTTCTAGATATTCGTTATACTTTGATTGGAATAGTTAGCACTACGTTTTGACAATTATTAAATAAATGAGATTTTTAAATTACCTTTTTAAATTATACTTTACAATGTTGAGGAAATGAGTTTTGTATTACAATTGGGAAGAAGTATTATTATTAAACTCTACTTTAAAAGTGAAAATAATTGCTATGGAAATCGGAATGTTATAGACTAGTACAGGACCACCAGGGCTAAAACTGACGATATGTAAGCCTGCATGATTCATGGACTAATAGAAGTAATAGTTCGCAAAAGAGTCGGTCAAAGTGGATTAAGTCTATCTTATTTTTAGTAGTAGTGGGTAGATAATATCTCAGATGATTAGGCTTGCATGACCATTTCCTTTTCATAGTTTCTAGTCATTAGCGCGAGCATTTAAATAGCTCTATTTTCCTTTTGAAGGCATGAACAAACATAAAAAATTGATCCATTTCTAAGTCTGTTAGTCAATGGGAATTTCCTTCCCAAAAGATGTAATGTCATACCTTATGATCTGATGAGTCAAACACTCTATACGCCAATGTGTCATGTCTATCAACATTACCGTGTAATCATATTATGTTGTGTAGCCTTTCTGTATTAGGTAATGATACAGATAAGAACATAATAGAAAGCAGATCTGATATATTTGTTATGAAGATCAGTTCTTAGTATAGATTAGATACAATCCTTTTAATCAAGGATATATTTGTAGAGATTAGTATATATTCAACATTAGGGTAAAATCCTAATGTATAATGGCTTGGTGTCGTTAATCATCTCGGTGGCCGTCTTTATGACAACTCGTTTTATTGGTGAAAACAACCCCTTTCTTGGTGAAAACCAATTTATAGAATTCTTCGTGTTCTTTAATTTTTACGTTCTTTATTTTCTTAGTTTAGTATGTTCTTATTTATTATACTTTAAGTGTATCCAATTGACACAAGCCTTCAGTTGGTATCAGAGTGGGTATTTGATACTCTCAACTAACTATGTCGACCTCTTTCAATCAAAAATCGACTGCTTGCAACAAGATCCCTCCGTTTGATGAACATAACTTCTCTGCTTGGAAATCAAAGGCCATGGAAGCTCTCGAGTTTGTGGACTTTGACATACTCGACATCGTAAACAAAGGTCCTATCGTTGTTATGCATCAATCATCCAATGATGGTGCATCAAATAGTAACTAAAAGGGAAATATGTGTTGATATATAACAAGGAAGAGAAAAGGGTGATGCATCTCTACGTAAAGGTGAGAGTTGCTATTAGAAACTCACCCCCTTTTCTATTTATCGTTTGGTTGAAAACTTGTCAACTGATCAAGAGATGATGATCACAATTTCCTATGCTATTGAAAAGGAAAACCCCTCATACGATGAAGGTAATTAACTCATGGCCCAGATATCTGAATCTCGTGCTACACCTCAGTGTGACTGAAACAATCCATTCTTTCCTTAATCTCTTCTTAATAAAAGTTTACGATTCACTGTAAT